GATGAAACATATTCGAAGATTTGCAATTTCCGAGACACGGCGCCTTAATATCGAAGTCGACCAAACATTAGAAAAGGCTCGACGTGGTGAGGGGCCTGGTAGTAAGACGTCAGCGGAACATGCTGGTGATGTGTTCGGATACTAGGGTAATAGAACATATTACGCCCCGGGCTTCTGTCTGGCCATTGATTTCGATGATAGTGGGGGACGGAATCGTAATATCTTCGTTAAGTAACCTGTCATCTTACTGATGTTGAGTCAGGAATGAGAGCCTGCTTGAGTAGGCGCCCTGCGTATCTCGAGCGGGGAGCTAGGGCATTCGGCATTGGCCGCCTATTCTTCTGTCAGTTCCGCTGAATGCAGACCAAATTCACTGGTCTAGAGAGAATCCGTGTGGTGACATGTGATTGTGGCAAGGGATAAGATAGCAGACCTCTGAAGCTGTGATGTTGCCGATCAGAGTGCAGGTACTGTAATAACGGCCTCTGATTGTTTGACCAGTAATATTGCCTCGGCTGTGAGTCATGCTATGACGTAAGTTACTTTATTGGGAAACAGAAGCGGTAGGCCGTGAATGTGAGAAACGGCAGGAGGCAGTTCGAGTCCTGATGCCTGAGGCCCGCGCTGAGCACATGAACTCGCAAATTCGCACTCTTGACGATAATTCCGAAAAAGAGATCCGCCCGTTCGGATTTTCCGGCCGTTTAAAACACCAAGTACGATTTTTGACCTCGCGATCGAGCATACATTATGCCACAGAACGGTCGAAAACTCCGAGATCACCGACAATCACGCATGTGAGTCTATTGTCACATTGACCTTCGGCTTATCCGAGAGCACAAGAGTGAGGTCCGCAAGCTCCACCGGCGAGACTGCTTTTCCGATACGGTTACAAGAACGCCTTGGCAGTCTCTCAGATTGATGCGAAAACGATAGGCTGAGAAGGGTAAAGACCTTCTGCTCAAAGGATAGAGGCAGATTTCTCAGAGCACTTAACGCGACCCTATCTTGGATGAAAGAGTTCGAGTATTAAGAGTCCGGTATGCCACTGTTCCGTCCATGAGTAGCATTTTCGCATCAGCACCCCCTAAGGCGGTTGTAACGCAGATATGACGATTGTACTCCTTACATGCACGTTGGACCCGGTCTTTGCGGTAAGTGTGCGAATAGAGTCACCTTGTACTGAGGTCTAATTCAGACGCTTGGGGACGCATGTGGCTACACCCTCTACACGAATCTAGCCATTCACACGCGCCTCGAATACGCACGTTCGACATCAGGGGATAACAACATGAATACCAAACAATAATGAACATTTTTCCGTGTCAATGAGTAGAGACGAAATAAAATTGCTTGCCACACGGAAGCCTGGGGTATGGAAATTTCCCTTGTGCCCATAATATTCATGCTGGTCTTGATATGCCCCAAATTTGCCTGAGCCGAATGATAGTTTCTCATTATGAATGAAGCCTTGAAGATATCTGCCACAATAACATATCGATCTTCCCACAATAAGTCCACCATTTTACCCCCCATCTCCGCCCCTCAGAAGCCTTATCATCCGATTGAACGTCCCATGTGGCCCCTTATTGGAAAGAGGGTTGCTCATTTTAGCTTGACCTCAATAAAGAGGCCACTAGACCCAAAAACCACGATGAGGCAACCGACAGATTTGCTGAAGCCGCCCACCCACCTCCCAGTGTATTATCAGCGGTACTGGGATGGCCCTAAATGCTGAACGCGGTGGTTGTCCCTGGGGGGCGAAGCTCTGTTCCTTGGCAAGGTTCGTAGATGCTGAGGCTGGAAAATCGTTAGCGATAACCACACTCAGGCTTTGGGGTCCACAAACCGGTTGGTTATGATGAAAGTATTCAGATTACAGCGCTACCGGAGTTGAGTCTCTACGGCGGCAAAGATCTCGCTAAGCTCGAGCGATCAACACGTCAGTAGCGTGCGAAAATCAAAAGAGTCGCTCAGACTCTTCCCGTCCGTATTAAACATGATAGCCCAGATACGAGAATGTATTCATTGTGTTGAGATATCGGGTCTGGCATCTTCTATTGTTGTTTAACTTTATGCTCGAGCTCTCTTACGTCGCTCGTTCTCCTGTCGAAGAGGGACCCCAACCAAGTCATTCGTTCTCCTTTCGAGGAGGGAGAACCCGACCAAGTCGTTCGTTCTCCTTTCGAGTAGGGACTGAATCTTGGGGCATGGTACCACCAGCTTCCTCAAGAAGCACGTAGGCTTCGTGGAGGTAGCTTTGAATGGCCGCGAGGTCATCTCCATTCCCCTCCGTAGACCAAGTGTCTACCCGCAACGAAAGCCGTTAGCAAAGCGGGGGCGGAGGTGGGAGAGAATGGGGGAGGGGCAGGGAGGAACAAGAAACAAGGGCAGAACAAACGAGGAGAGGGACTTACCTAACTATCGGGGGTGCCAGCCCGCCGATCACCTTTCTCTACCAAATCAAGCTTCGATGTGAGGCGCCGTTGAGATGTCCGCAATCTGATCCCGTATCCAAACAACCCAGCCATCCAACTTTTCTCTTTTCCCTATCATGCGCTTCCTGAGTTTGCAGTAGCTTTTGACATCTGTATAAATGTCAGCGGCCATGCCATACCAGAAGAAGACTGTTATCGCACGTGGTTTAGAGCAATCGACGAGTCTGGAGCGGAAGGTCGAGGTGGATAATGACAAGAGGGGAATGCAGGAAAGATGAAGGAAGAAGTCCTAAGCCCTCAGCTCTCTCGAGGCTAGCTGTCTGAATTTTAAGTGGAGTTAGGTCCTTCCTGTTTCTTCCTGGCCGAACTGATCAATTGCACCTTCTCCCACAACGTTTTCTCGGCTAGTCTTAGCATGCTTGACCAATCAAAAACCCTCGCCACTATGTAGAAGCTGCTGCCTCAGCAGCTCAAATATCACTATCGTCATCTTCGTCCAACCTGTTGCTAATGCCACCATGCCGGGAATTCAACCTCGACGCGCACATTGATTCATCTCCCGGTCCGCCGTATTTTTGCTGAATCCCGCCCTGAGCTCGAAACATGGAGGTTACAGAGTTTACGGTTTCTGTACTTCATCATGTCGGTTCCAGCATCAACTGCAGTTGAAGCCCACGCACCAGTAGACCTTCTTTACACGAACCATCGGAGGGTCGACACAAGAGCCATTCTCTAGAGCGAATGAACGCACAATTCATGAAGAGATTGTTCTTATGCGCATGTTTATCAAGGGTCTAGATTAGGATTCGAGCGATGGCGGAGATGTTAAAGTATTACCAAGAGAGAATAGTGTAATATAAAGGATAATCTGCTAAAATTTACCGAGGACGACTGGGAGTATACGCTTAATAACGCCAAGCCAAGCGTGCAAAACCCAATACAATAACGCGAACAATAATGTATGAAACAGCAGAGGACAACAGTATACATAATCAAAGATGGCGTAAAGAACGAAGATAAATAAATGCCTCCATGAGCATGCTCTCCGTGTCATCCTGTTGTCACCAGATCAAATCGACACCTGTCCCGGGTGTCTGGAGAGTACAATATCTGACGGTGGCTGCAATCATATGACATGTGACAATAATGCCTGCAGCTATTGGTAATATTATCTTAGTAGATATGGTGGGTATGTAGTCGGATGAACAGCGCGAGCGTAAGTGCGGCCTGGGAACCATACCTCGCTGAAACAGGCGGCAAATGACAACAGGGTGAAATTCCTTGAAAGAGAGAGGATACACTCATTACTAAACATGCCATGGAGAAAGTGTGTATCAAGAAGCTTCATAACCATAGAATTTCTATAAAACCTGACCAAAGTATCCAAAGAGTCTTATCCACCTTCATCGACATGGGCTAGAAATCCATCATACCCTCACCAGTTGTATGTCTCGCCATCCAGCTCTCCTTTGTCGCTGAGACCAATCCATTCTAAGGTCTCCAATATACTATGGATCAGGGGGCTCTTGGATAGAACATTCCAAGTTTTATCCACTCCAGAGGCGTCGATTGCTCGTCGTTGCCGCCCCTCTTGATTCCAATACCAGACAGACATGACACCAACGTCGGTTTTTAAGCATACCGATGAAAGAGCTGGTTATCATTTGCATTTGTCTTCGAAAGGGCCTGCTCGTTTTGGCTTCACCTCAATAAAGAGGCTACTAGACCCAGCAACCACGGTGAGGTACGAGCAGATCTGCCGGGGCCCGCCCACCCACCCCCCAGTATATTATCGCCGTACTGGGTCGGCCCCTAAAAGAACGCTGTGATAGTCGCTGTCGCTGAAAAAAAAAAAAAAAAAAAAACGGGAAAGAGGGGGGGGGGACTTACTTGCATGTCGGGGGTGTCAGCCCGCGCGTTTCCCGTAACCAAACTTCGGTAGTCATCCACCTCGACCTTCCGCTCCAGACTTGTCGATTGCTCTAAACAACCGGTATCTTCGGGGTCGGTCTCGGAGTTGTCGCCGTGGTATCTGGTCCGTTTGAGGGAGTGACGCTCCGATGGTGGATCGCCCGTACCGTTCGTTGTGTGGTCGCGCACCGATAAATCGATGCCTCAGAGAAGTCAATAACAATAACACACGTCATGGACTTATTGACAAGGTTTAAAAGCTGCATGGGTTCCCAAGACGAAGCTTCCTTTCTGCGGTACTAGATGTGAATACAAACCGAGCGAAGGGGTAATATGATGACGAGGCAGGCCCAATTGGTACATGCTTGGTTTTGAGCCTCCGAACCCTCTTAGTCAGGCACCTTAACGTGAGTAAAATAAGTTGTTGACGCAATTATAAGTCAAGAGACACTTTTATTGGATTATTCTAACTTCCTAATTGTAATTCAGGCAATAACAACACAATACACAACCGCAAAGTATTAAATACACACACAATATTAACCCAAATAAGCACTGTTTATTAGGCGTATTGGTTTTAATTCACAACCTTAGCTAGAGATACTACTAGTAAAGTTGTAATCCAAGAAACTGTGTGCAACTACCTGAAATTCATGTCAGTTGGGCCCTCCAAACTGGGCAGCAGAGATCAGAACTCACGGCGTCATCATCATCCCATCCCCCGCCTCCTAGAAAGTCAAAAACCCCAAAGTCATCAAGATCTACAGTCTGGCAAGTATCCAACGTCGGGCCCGCCTCGCCTGCATCGCCTGCCTCGCCCGCCTCGCCCGTCTCGCCCGTTTCGCTGCTGTTCTCCCCTGCCATACCCTGCAGTATCTCGATGCATTCTGCCACCGCCTTTATGGCCGCCTCGCGGAGCATCTTGTCATGCTCCGGCTTGGAGCAGCGAGCCTCTAGCGCGTTGAGATGGGCAAGCATACAGGCGGTACTAACAAACGCCTTGACATTTGTGTCGCCAGCTCGAAGGCGTTCCCGGCGCAGCTCGTGCCATGACTGAAGGATCGAGCGGGCCTCGGCCATGCCTGCTGTAAGTGCTCCATAGTGCGAACGGGGCTCTTTTTCCAGGCTCTGAGCGAGATCCACGGCCAAGGTCAGGATGAGCTGTGGCTGTGTGGCCCGATACGGGCCGCTGCCGCAGAGGAAAAGCCGGGAAAAGTCCCAGTCCGAGAGGGTCCCCCGAGTGGCTAGAAACGCCCGAGACTCAGGGGTTAGATAAGTTATTGCTGCGAGGCGTGTGCTCGCATCGGTAGACATCTTGCGAGAAAAATGGAACAAGGGATTTTGCAGTGCCTGAGGGAGGAGGGGCAAGTGAAGGGTCAGGAAGAAGCGATGCATGGTGAACTCGACGTATCGTAGCTGAAATGAGGATATTCCGCCCGCCTCGTGAAATTTGCCCAGCCGCTGAGTTATTCTTTGCACAGAAGTGCCGAGGTCAGAGTTGATAGCAAGTGATTCATTAAAAGAAGCCGTGGACCGGATGGAATTGACTGCCTTAGCAACGGCTAGCCGGGCCGGCCAGGTTTCTAGTAGGGCGAGTTGTGCCGCCATCTCAGTGCACAGTTCTGCATCGTCCTTGCCTGATGCAGGATTCGTGTGGTTAACAAGCTGTTCATCATTAACATTGGCAGGCGGATCGGCGTCGTAGTCTTCGAGGGTTAGAGTAGGAGCTCCCCCAGAGTCTAGACTGGCTTGAAGGACTATCTCTATTACTGTAGCCCAGAGCCGCCGACGTATCTCTGCTTCGCTTACCGTCATACCAGGGAAGGACTTTGGATCCTTATGGAGCCCAATATGTGTTGCTGTATGAAGGAGGGTTCCGGCACCAATCCAGCTCAGATCGGAGCTCATATTGGTGATATCATTTGCGTGATGCAATAGGCAGAGGATCTGCATGCCCGTAATACTGATTTTATGTCTCTTGCAGGCTAATGTGAGCCAGAGATTGGCCTCCCAGACCCAGTGGCAGGCCGACGAGCGAAGCGAGAAAGTATCGTCTTGAAAGGCGGCGCCGATAGCCATGCAAAGTTGCAGAAGAATGACGAAAGAGCCGTCGGCTACCTGGGGGGTTGCCCAGTACTTTTCGTACTCGGCGCGGAACGTAGGTACGTGAACAGTGCGGTATACGGTCTCAAAGGTCCTGAAATAGGCCTCGACGAGCTGGTCTGCTATCTGTCTCGTGGGCATCCGCTTCCCAAAAGACATGGAGGTAATGGCAAAGTCTAAAACACGGGAGGCTTTTACTTGTCTGGCCAGTGATTTGCATGTCTGAAGTTGATTACACAGGTCGCCGCCATCTGTTTCAACTTCTTTGATAAAGTCTATGAGAACGGGCATCTGACCACGGTTAGCAAGAAGCTCTAGCCAGTAGCTGGGTGGCAAGTGGGTGACAAGAGAAATGAGACACCCGATGGAAGAGTTGGTACAGTAAATAAAGGAATTTAGCAGCACATATAAATTGCCATAATGTAACAATATTCGCTATATTGTCGTGGAGGCATGCATCATTACCACTCAATAGCCTGACAATATCCGTCGCAGACTTGAAATAAGCAGCTTAATGTTTGGGTGTCTCAATTTCAATGTCACCGACACAGGTGGCTAGGGTAGTTCTTACAAGGTGTGCAACGTTAAACCAGTGACTTCGCCCCAGATATTGCATCTTGGTGATCACGGCCTTTTCCTGGCGCGGAAATTTGTCAAGTCCGTCCCTACACAGTTGGCGGGACTTTGCTAGTTCCTGCTCAAGCTGGCTGATTCGAGATTCAAGCGAGGCTACGTTGGCATAGGTCGCATTTCCTGGGAGGCTTTCTGGAGTGAGTGCCACGACCCCGGGGATGAAGGTGTTTGTCTGCTGAGCGGCACTCGACATAGCGTTGGATTGCGACAAGGGGCCTGCCAGAGCAGGCGACGGTCCGGATGCGGTGAAACTCTTGGGGTTGTCCAACTTGCAGAGCCTTGGTGCTGAAGTGGGATCATCACCATGTCCTGAGCCTGCAGCCTGGAGAGGGCTGACAGTTCCAGATCGTATAGAGGGGCTCAACAAAGTCACTTTCTTTCTTGGCTGTGGATCGGGCGCGTAGGTGCAATGTTGATTTCGAGATCGCTGGCACGCGGCGCAGGGGTGAGTCCTATCGCAACGGATCTTGCGCGCCCGGCACTGCTCGCAGGCCAGAGCAGGTCGTCTCCGTTTGATCCCCGTGGCTGTTGATGAAGGGCTTGGCTGGCTCTGAGTGGACATGACTTCAATTGGTCAGAGGGCGGGGGGGCGAGGGAAGAAATATTAGGAAATGAGGAACCGATGATGTGCATATTCAAAGAGAACCTATCTTGCGAGGAAGTTTGCAACACATAACTCCAACGCACGCCACGTCGCGTACCTATGCTCAAGGATTGACGGTTGGAAGTGAGCGGTTCCATGTCCGTGAAGTCAATCGGTGTCGGCCGCACTTAACTCCGAGATTCCTGGTCGCTGATTGGAGGAAGCGGCCGAGAGTGACGCCAAGCACCGAGCGACGAATCAGCGCAGAGCTTCACCCCGAGGCTCCCAGGCCAAAATCACTGTCAGGGAAAACGTCATGCCATTGACCGATAAGTGATCGCACGGGTTAAACAGCACATAAATTCGTATTCGTTGAGTTGAGTTGTCGGGCCCTGGCAGCTTCATTGTTATTGAACTTTATTGTTTTTGCCTTCCGTAAACAACAAATGACCTTTCCTTCAATCATCACACATTGATCGATTGGTTTACTTTCTCTAATGCAGCTGTACTTCTTGTCAAATCACAGTCGCAGACGCCCAGATAAGAATGTTCAGGGGCTCAAATGCAAAGAAACGATAAACGGGAAATATGGTGTATTGTCGGCCGAGGCTAAGCCTCCACGCCTGGGGCGTAGATTTGAAGCAGCGGCCATCATACGCCTCCGCAGCTAAATTGGCGCCCAGGAATCTAACCTTGTTTAATGACCTAAACTTACTTCCCACTCACAATCGTATTTATTTAAGCTTCAATATAATCACACAGACTCTTTTTTTAAGGTTCTTGTTGCCTGCTGCTGCCTAAATCCTAAATTAGGGGAAATATATGGCTCTGCCCCAAGGCTTATGTTTATGATAAACTCACGAGGACCAGGAAATTCCGTAAAGAGGTGAGAGAATTGAGCTATATAGAGCAGCTGGGCCACGCGCTATTTCTGTATAAGGAAACTGCAGTTATCTTGCCTATTAGCGGCGAGTTCGTTTCATAGGAGAGTATTTGTCAGGCTCACAACACGTCAGCAGATAACAGTACCAACACCCACTATGTCGTCTGAACCTTCCAAAATAGAGGAAACCCTCGAGCCACACGACTCTTCCATAGTCGAGGCTGAGGCGCAACAGGACCATTTTGAAAACCCTCCGAGTTACGAAGTTGACGAGAATTTCAAGCGGAAGCCGGATGCTACGGAAGAAGACTGGCGACTTGGTTCCCCGTTGGATAAAGAAGCCCCTTGCCCGGAAGACTGGGCAACCAGGCCAATACCAAATTTGATCTTTGCTTTGACGCCCTTAGTCAAGAACAGTTCGGTGATACGGGAGTGGTTCAAGACCGTCCCCGAACGGGATTGGTATGCAGCCTTACGGCTCAATGCGAAGAATATCCCGGGCCTCATGCGGGACGGTTTTCACTGGTCATCGGCTAATATTATACCGGGACGTGGCTTCATACTACTGAACAATCGGGACCTACCTAGAGAGATTGGCCTCGGGCTTACTAGCTGCAATCATACGCGAACATATAAGTTGAAGGGGAACGAGAACACCGACATTGAATGGCGGGGCACATTGTATGTGTCCGCGAGGAAGTCTTGTACTATTACCACTTTCGACCTCAATTGGTTGACCCAAGACAAGATCATATTCGTGAGCGCTTACGACTGGAACTCAAAGCCAGTCTATTCCTACAATTGGTTTCGAAACAGCGAGAATTTCAACGTGGTGTATGAAGGCATGCCTTTGAAAGGCTGGTGGCCCTGGCCCAAGGCTGAGCCGCCTTCACAAGGAAATGCTTCCGCGGCTACTAGGGAGAACTCGATTGGGGAAAGATAGTGTCTTTCACTTGACTCATCAGGATTACGATTGGGAAGTTTGAATCCAATGAAGGTGTCATTTTTTTATTACCTATTGCGTCAACAACTTATCTCTCAACCTTTTAGGTGCCTGACTAAGTGCCTAGGGTTGTGAATTTAAACCAATACGCCTAATAAAAAGTGCTTATCTGGGTCAATAATGTGTGTTTATCTTAAATTTTGTGGTTGTGTATTGTGTTGTTGTTCCAGAATGGTACATCTGTCCAGCCTATCAGGTAGCGATGACAGCACCGTAGTATCTAGAATCTATATAAAGGATGAGTCTGAGCGTCTTAAGACGTTAGAAGAAGAGTCGCGTTATGGGGAATTTATCACCTGTCTTAAATATTCTGAGAACGATTGGGCAGTTTAATTTACTGAATTCAATGCCCAAAAATGCCTTATCAAAGGCATTGACTGCCGGCCTACCCCCAAACCAGCCAGCAATATCCGCAAACCTTTCCTCTCTTTTTAATGATACTCAATCAATCCACAACTATCGCATAATAATATTGCGAGATATAGGACCGGGAAGAGAAGATGCGAAGGAGGTCGAGGCCGAGTCCCACACGCCTGATTGTATCTTTTCGCCGTTGTGTCGCCTTACGCCAGTGTGGACCAATTCAAAATGGTGAAGGTGTATGCGTACATTATTCACTCCAATCGGCGGAAAGGGAATCTTAATAGCTCACAATCATAGGAAGAGATAAAAATGATTAGTCTGATCAAAAACCAGATGAATTGCGTGATCATGGAGATGCTAAGTCGATTGTGTGTAGTGCCTGTGGCCCTGCAGGCCTCTTGTCTCGCCAAACCCAATAGAGGGTGTGATGCCCACACAACAATCGTGATGTCCTTCTCATGCTCGATTACCAAGCTCCTCCATACCCAGGATCCCTATCAGAATACCTTTGGTTGCCTGAACTTGTAATAAGTGGGATGGTCGAGTCATTCAGCTGAGAAGGTCGTGGAGGATCCGACGAAGGGTTGAATAGGGGAGTCATCCACTGGTACTGATACAGGCACAAGCGGAGCTGTAGGGAGATGACCCGTTCGATGAGGGTTCGCTTTTCTGTTGATCCCGAGTGCGTCGAATGCTTCCTTCAGGGTATCTATCGTAAGTTGTTTCTCAAGAAGGAGAGCTTGGCCCATGACTTTTCGCCAAATTGGATTCCAGTGTCACTGAATCCCGATATTTAGGCCGGCAGTTCCCACCGAAGCAACCGCCCTAGCTCCTTGCACTTCACTACCGATTCAGCGAATTTCTGCGCTTGCTGCCCTTTCCACGGCGTACTTTGTGCGTCGCATGATTCGGCAACTTTGCACTTGTTGTAGATACGGAACGAAATTTCGTAGCCTAGTACAAGCAAGGGTGCTAAGTCTGGATCGCCATATTAGTTTAAGATACGAGGAGTAGGACAAAGAAACCTACACATCCTAAGATGTTCACCAAGCCCAAAGACCAAGTCTTTCGGCTGATTAGGTCGTGGAGAATCTGACGAAGGGTTGAATGGCGGGATCTTCCACTGGTACCGATACGGAAGAAAAAGAGAATAAAGTTTAACAACAATGAAGCTGCCAGGGCCCGACAACTCAACAGGTACTGATACAGGCACAAGCGGAGCTGTAGGGGGATGGGCCTGTTCGATAGTGGGAATATTAAAATATTCCCGACCATGGAATCCTTTTGAGCTCCAAATGGAGTTCCGTTTCAAAGGCGCACTTTGCGTCGTGTAGGTAGTTTAAGGGAGAAGGTATGCATGGTGAAATGTGGACATGAAGAATGTCTACATCTGATACTATGACAGGGAGGACAGCCAATCGGAAAGGCTCCAGCCGTTTGTAGCAAGAGCCCTGCAAGAGCAATCGACCCCTAAAGCCACAAGGAAGGTACGGAGCACAAAGCGATCCACCAACCAACTACCCTAGAGTACAAGAACCAAGCCACCTTCACGTTACGACAGCAATCTTTGAGGGCAGTGCAAGCGAACAAAGCATGGATTTTCCATAGCCAATTGTACTCCCTTCTCCAATGTTGCATCTAAGCATCCTTTTGACATTGCTACTCATCCAGGTGATGCCCACCCACAAATCACGAATCCACCGTCGACCGTCAAGAATCTTACTACCCTACCATCCTACACAGAAAAATATACCATTATTGTGATATAATATGTACTAGCTCACGGACAACGTCGCAATCATCTGCATTTCCGACATTACCGGCGGTGGATTTTGGTGCCAAGCCAGCCACGAGACTATAGTAAGAAAGACCATTCGGTTACCGCTTCAATGAAACTCAAACTGATATTATTTTCTTTTAGAGGCTACCGTTTTCCGTCTACTAAATTAATCAACGCGAACCGAAATTGGCCGACAAAGACCTCGAATTGCCATGGCGCGAATCTTAGCCTGTCTTAGTGATAGCCTCACCGATCTCCTCTATCTGGCACCCGAATGGTAACAATCAGAGACCTCTTAGGCGACGGCAGCCCGTCTATATAAGATTTTATATCTTGAATTCGAGACTCTCTCTCTTGTCCCAGTTCTTCGACTCTTCTCTGCCTGGCCAGGAGAGCGCTCTCGGATGGTGACATTCTGGCTTGTTCCCGATCGTTACGAGCCAGCATACGCTCGTTCTTGGTGCCTGGGTTGATCTCATCGAGGAGGCTTGGAAGAGCATGTAGGATGACAAGTGCTTGGTATCCGATGGCGTCATGTTGACGAGTAATCTTCCGTCGGTACCTTTCCGTGGCCCTGTCTGAGTATACTTGACTGGATTCGCGGAAGGGGAAGGGCTGGGTGTCGTTCAGCCACTGCGTCACATTGGACGCAATTTCCTCCGCATCGCTCGACTTACTGGAACTTGTTAGCATGTCTTTGTATCCGTGCCCGAAAGAGAAGAAGAACTCACCCAGCGATGACTTTGGTAATTACCCTTAGGACAGAGAGACAGATATGTGTCTGCTCCTCAACCACCCGGACTAGTTCGGCAGTTTCGCGGGTTTTAAAGATGTTGGATAGAAACCAAACTGAACGCCAAACCAGACGGACCAAGACACTCACCTGGACACAAAAATTGTCATTTAATGTGCTTCGGATAAGACAAAGTTCTAGCTGGTCATCAATCTCCATGAGAGACTTTCTGCCATGATGAAGAATCTCCCCATCCTGCCTATTCAGCCTATCCAGAGCACATAAAAACTTATCCACCTCCTCTTTTAGGCGACATGCTTCGGGGAATCCTCCCCGAAGTCGTATGTGAATAATTTCGCGAGGCATATTGAATGTGGCTTCGTAAAGGTGCCGTGCGCGCAACCAAGAAACGATTGGGGATGTTATTTTTAGTAAAATGAGTACCTTTCGCCTTTATAGATGAGAATCTAAGATGATTGAACTCTAATCGGTAAAAGTGAGGGGTTTAAATATGAGACGAGCTGACAGAGAATGAGAAATCTTTGTCCTGGCAAAGGCTAATATAGCGGGAGCAACATAGGAATAAAAGAGACTATGGTCGATGTTTCTCAGAAGCTTGGGCTTGTCAGATCAACCTCGCTTTGACCAACTTCGCAATCCTAACAAGACTAATACTTGTTTTCTAAATGACGGGGCAAGTTAAGTTGCATGCATAGTGAACGGCTGACAACTTGGGAAATGTCACAAAACTTATGCCATGAGACCAAAAGGGAACCTACACCGTTGTTTCCGTCAAAGATAATCTCAATGTATATACTCTGCGACAGAAGGGATTTTCGGGAGGTATGTCTGTGTCACAACAAGCATTTTGGAGAATTCACATCCAATTGTTCCTTAGTAGTTGTGATTGATAATCGTGCCTGGTACTGACATTGTGCTAACTCTCTTCCGCCGGGCCACTGATTGCGATGGAATCAAAGGTCGACGCATTTATTGGTGCGAACTTCGTGGCTGATACAACATGTTAATTAATTCACATAATCTCCGCCGTATGGAAGGTTTCGGGCACCCTTCGACAACTGGGGAAGACTCATCCTCAGTAAACATTTGACCCGATGTGGCCTTTGTTGATTGAAATAATGACTCGTGTATTATTTTCGAGACTTTTTTTGACGTGTCTTTGATTTCAAATACCAAGTTCAAAGTTTGTTACGGTCAATGAGAGGCGGCAACAAAGGTTGCGACTGGTAGCTTTGATCAAACAGCGCTGCTTTGTCCAAAATCAACACACAGGCTGAATCGAATTACAATGGTAGCACGATGACCTGAGCCACTGCATGGTCTTCATAGATTGAATAGACAATTCTATGACATTCGATGGAATAACGTCACCAGGTGGTCGTAATACATCTAATGTGTGTGAAGCCTCATAGTGTACAATTATGTGGGCTATTTTTGCCGTTCCATGCGCCTTAAATTCCTTATTTGATGAATATAAGTTTTTCTTTTAAGACTTTACTATACTACGATCTATTGAAGGGTGAATAACCAGTGATAGACTAATTGACAGAGCAAGTAGCCACACCTCAAGACATAAGGGCCCCCTACGCCCTCTTCAGCTCCTCATTGATACCATTGTACGTCCAGTTGTAGTTCATATTTTGGAAGGAATTCACCTCGTCCAGCTTCTGGCTCGCCGCGCGAGTGTTGAGCTGCACCTGCGACGCCCTGGGCCTCCGTACCGTCTCCCACTGCTGGAGGATCCTTGGAACATCTGACGGTGCTACGCCTGGCTCGAGGAGCAACCTCAGTCCCTCGGCGTCTTCGATGGCTTGCCCGGCCCCTTGACCTTGGAAGGGCGCCATGGCGTGCGCCGCGTCACCGATTAACACAGCCCGGCCAGAGACATAGTTGGAGAGAGGATCATGGTCACGGAGCTCCCACACTTTGACTTCCTCGGCGTATCTATCGAGGTCAGTTTCGGATGTTACAATTAGATGCGTGGAAGAGGGTGGCTCGGAAGACTTACTTCATGAATTCTCGATAAGACGTGGGGAAGTCCTTGAATATGTCCAAAACCTCGTCAATGTCGCCGTTAGCGAACCAAGACTCTGTAGCCCGTTCACTAAGGTACTCGTTGGGAAAGGCACAGCTAAAGTTCACATATTGAAAGTTACGGCATGGGTATGTGATGATTGCCCGGTTGGTGCCATCTTCGAGTCGCGTGATGGAAAGGTAGCCGCCGATTTCGGGATTCCACCAGTCAGGGAGATCCCCAGCGGCCTTTCGGGCATTCTCCGAAGACACCAGGAACCGGAAGATGCTCTGGCCGGTGGGCGTGGCGGCGTAATCACCGCTACCCACAATCTTTTGCTTGATCTTGGTGTGGATGCCGGCTGCCACTATCGAGGTGTCAACTCTGCTCTGCGACGGGGGAAAAATAGGCTTACCAATTATGACATCCCCCTGGATAGTCTCCCCATTCTCGAGCGTGACAACTCCAGCGTCGGGGTCGACGTCTGTCACCTTGGTCTTGTAACGAAGCACTGGCGTTGTCCCTGGACCGTCCTGGGCCGCAAGGCGATGCAGTTCATCCCTCGCATCCGCTCGCAGCTGCATGAGCCAGTCGGCGCCCCACGTCGATTCCATGTCCAGCGGAATGGTCTTGACCAGAGCTCCAGTCGCGCCGTCGTACGCTTTGAGCCCCTTGCTCTCGACAGCTCGCACGCGCTGGCGGTCGTAACCAATCTTCTCGAGAATCTTGACAGCGTTGGGCCCGAAAGCAAGACCTTGCCCGCCCGCGACTTGGTTCGCGTCCCCGGACTCGAGGATGGTGACGTCGGCACCTGCTCGGAGCATGGCTGCCGATGCCAGGCCGGCGATACCTGCGCCAACGATGATGATCTTGAGGGGCATAGTGAATGAAGGTTTTAAGGATAGTGCTGTTGTGCTTATATAGAGTTGGTGTTAGGTGTCAGTGAATACCTTGGGCTTGTATGAGGATGAGCTTAGACGAGGCCACCCTGCTGTTCCTTTTATACACATGAAAACCGTGCACCGAACGCTCCCCTACCAGCGAGAATACACATGTCCCCTTAAGGCAGTGATGTCCATGTATACACCGAGAAACAGTGGGTCGTGACCTTGTTCTTGCGACACGACTGAGTCTTCGGGATCGGGCTCGGTCGACAGATGAGCTCTCGGCCGACTTTCGTGTCTACGGACTCGGTCAAGGAAGACAGCAGGCCGTAGATCCTGCAAAACGTCAATTGCGCATTGCATGAATGAGGTCATTTCCGCCTTGTCCCGATGGTCTAGCCCGAGTTACTTGCACCCTGAGCTAGTACTTATAACTCATGCCGCCCTCCGCTTGAACAGCAACAGAACTGCCATTAACAACCACGAAACCAACGTTCTATTAAAATTCAACATGTCCAATACAGCACATCACGCGTCACTCGCGGCTTCTGAGCTCCCGGAAGGGCCATACAGGACCAGCGATCCACGTCACTCCTCCGACTCGACCGGGATAGCTCGAACCGAAGTGGAGAACACCAAGGCAGAGTCGAGTCCAAAGCTCACAGACGAAGCTCCCGACGGTGGCACTGCGGCTTGGCTGGTGGTTCTAGGTGCCTGGTGCACTTCGTTCTGCAGTTTTGGCTGGCTGAATAGTGAGTTGTGGGCACCAGTCCGAGGTTAGGTTTCGTCTGACAGAATTTGACTCGGTTTAGGTGTTGGAATTTTCCAGGAATATTACCAGAACGTCTTGTTGAGCAGCTACTCCTCAAGTGTAATCGCTTGGATCCCTTCGCTGCAGATCTTTTTCATGATGGCTATGGTATTTGTATGAAGGCCTAGTTTTGGGAACGTCGCTAATGGTTGGCTTATAGGGTCCTGTCGTTGGTGCCTTGTTCGACAGATATGGTCCTCGCTGGCTGATCTTCATAGGCAGCCTACTCCATGTCCTCGGCGTCATGATGGCCAGCTTGGGCAGCCAATACTACCAGATCTTGCTCGCGCAGGGCGTCTGCTCGGCTATCGGCGTTGCCTGCATCTTCCAGCCGGCCATGAACGTCATCGGCGGCTGGTTCGACAAGAAGCGCGGCGCTGCCTTTGGAATCCTCAGCACTGGCTCCTCCCTTGGGGGCGTGGTCTTCCCCATCATGGTGAATCACCTGATCCGCCGTGCTGGCTTTGGCTGGGCGATGCGTGCCGGGGGATTCCTCATTCTCTTTCTGCTCTTCGTTGCAAACCTCACGATTCGATCGTATCGCCCGCCGCGTCCCCAAAAGGTCACGGGCGCCATGGTAAGGAAACCCTTTACAGAGCCCGAATTCGTCCTCCTCTCGGCTGGTCTCTTCTGTTTCACCTACGGCCTCTTCGTTCCCATCAACTACATCACCGTCCTTGGTCTTCACGCGGGCATGGAGCCGAGCTTGGCGGAGTATCTTGTCCCTATGCTCAACGCAGGCTCCCTCTTCGGTCGCATGTTCTCGGGCATCATGGGCGATCGGGTGGGGAGGTACAACATCTTCATTGTTGTCTGCTACCTCTCGAGCATCTGGATCCTGGGGCTCCTTATCCCAACCATAACCAACGCATCGCTCATTGCTTTCGCGGTGCTCTTTGGCTTCTCTTCAGGCGCGTACGTCTCGCTCATCACCCCGTTGGTGATGCAGATCTCCCCCCTGAACGAGATCGGTCTTCGTACGGGCATCATCTTCTTCGTCAACGCCGTCGCGGGCCTTACGACCAACCCGATTAACGGCGCTATTCTGGACCAGCCGAACGGGTGGCTTGGTATGAAACTCTTCGCAGGGATGTTCTGTCTAGTCGGTACCACGTTTGTGCTGGCGGCGAGAGTTCACAAGACCGGATGGAAGCTCAGCGCGACGTTCTAAGGGCTGCAATGCACTTTGGTGATGAGTAGTTGTGTCGCGCTAGGTTTGGTGTCGCAGACTGATTGGAGGAGAGGATTTCTCGTTTAGATGTTGTTCTGTGGTAATGTAATGGTAGATTGAGGGGAGTTCGTCATCCGACCGTTAGGCTTAAGAAGTTGCTAGGGGCATGTTGCTTTGGGGGGCACCGGATTATGCCAACACCCCATAGTTTGGGGACATTGAAGCTACCATGATGGCTACCAGGTAGGCGCAGAGCATCAAATGTGGGAGTGTGCTAACCGGCTACTCCCTTTCCGCGAACTAATCACCCCACCCCTGTATAACTATAGCTGACGAGGGCTTAGTAGCTAATATTACTTTTTCTTAGCTAACTACTAATTAAATTTAAACTTCCTTACTAGGTAATTAATAATATATATCTATAGTTAATACTAATATATACCTAATCTAGCTAACTTTATAATATAATAACTCTATTAAACTTAAAGCTTTTTATAATAGCTTTTTTATAATAAATATTCTATTTTCTATAGTTTTCTTTTCTACTAAAACTATTAAGTAGACTTATAATAAATATATTAAAACTATTAATTTTACCCTCTTAATTTATAAAACTATCTAGCTTAATAATAAAAATAGTATTAAGAAATAAATATTAAACTATATAAAGAGAAGGAAATATATTAGTTATACTAATCCTAATATTTATCTAATATTATAAATTTTATCCTAACTATATATATTATATATAGAACCTATAATTTTATCTAATTACTAAGAATAGATAATAAGATTAT